AGACCGTGTACAAACAGAATTAGGTATATTATTAAGTATTATCGGTGTTTGTATATAGTTTCTATGGCATAATGGTCTGATTTCAACGGTTTCTATATACCTATGCAAGTATTATCTGTGTTTGTATAAAGGTTTTATATTTGTATTCGAACGAAATAGATTATTTTTGGACTGAAACTACAACATACTATACTAATTCTAATACTAGTTCTGTTTTTACACGGTAGATTGGTTCCAGAAAAAACAGTGTAAAAAAAGAAATTGATTGGGGCATTGAGGAACTCAGTTGGGACTGAGTTGCATTTGTTGAAGTTTTTTCATTGATCATAAATAAATAAATAATTTTTTAAATGCATCGTGCATTATTTCATCAAAATTTTAATTTTTTGGCCCCCCCTTTTGGTAAAAGCAGCGTACGCCCTTGCATTGTTAATATGCAAAAAAAAGTTGATTGGTTCCTTATCTCTAAAACCTATTAAAATCAGTAAAAAGAACAAGGATTTATGTTTATTTTATTAAATCACATATGTAAACAAGAATGGTTTCTGGCTGTTTCAAATTTTTTTTTTAAATTTCAAACCATGTCAGTAAATGTTATATAAGAGGAATAATATACGTAATTAATGATATTTGTGTGATATTTGTAATTAATTAATTCATTGAATTTGTTAAGCCTTTAAACTTATAGGGGTTCCTTTTAATCATAATAAAGACTAATGACTCTGTCTGATGGCATTTGAGATTTAAGCAAATTGTGGATTTATTTTTTTAAACTTTGCGGGGTTGGAAACAACTTTGAAAATATCGATGTGAAGGCTATATAAGTACTCCCCAAATTTCAACTTTTAGTAATGCATTTCAACCTCAGCCTGGGCTTCTTCCCCAATTCTAAACAGTTCTCATTTTAGACGAAACAGGCAGCTTCCCAACAACTTTAAATTTTAAATCGAAGCACATGTCGGTGGTTGTTTCTTGTAAGTTATATCAAATTCTTAATAGAAACATTTGAAACTGATTTTCAACATTCGTAAAAAACTAAATTAGAAGCACAAAAATGAATACTTACTTGTAAATTTAGAAATACCTTTCAATGGAAACTAAAGATCATTTAAGATGTTCTTTAAGTTTTTCAATTTATTTTTTAAAACAAGTCTAGCATTTCATTTAAATTCCTAAAATTTTAGAGGTATCTGTTTTCTAATGTCCAATGGATTGCCCGTTGTTGAAGATATTTATTTTTATTTATTTATTTATGTCAACAAACATTGACTGTCGACATAGGAGGAAAATATATAAAAATTATAAAAAGCATCTTATAAGCCTGAAAAGCCTAAGAAGGGGAAATCTAATCATATTACAATAATATCTAATTAAATTGGGAGCAGTCACCATTTCATTTCGGTTAATTATTACGGAATTTAACTTGTGATTGTGATTGCTAAAGATGTCCATAAAACATAAGAGTGTGTTTCTTTTGTTGTAAAAAATTATCAGTAGCTATAAAAATTCATCAAACCAGAGACTAGTATTTAATCGGCAATTAAATCAACTAAAATGAAGTTGCCTTGCGAATGCGGCCTTTGTGTTCCCATGAATAAAAATGATATTAATTTAGCGATATCAAGAGCTGGCCAAAGGAACAAAATGCAATTCTGCGGCTCTAGATCACGCTTTATAGCTGAGGCTTTTCAAATTTAAAAAGAGCAGAGAGTCCGCCACAGCCCACCTGTCCATTCAGCAGAGTGCCTTTCATTTGCATTGGATGGCTCGATGGTTTGAGCCATTCATGAAAAGGCCTCCTCCATTCAAAAACACGTCTAGCTAGCTGGCTGGCTGGCGTGCATTAAATGTTTATTTAATAAATATTCCATGCAATGTTTTCCCAACAAGACTTTTGTTTATTTATATGGGGAAATACGAGCGACATGCTTGAGACCCTCTCGGAGCATTCATATACATATATACCATATCAGTATATATACATAGGTATTTGTATTTGAGGGCCAATTCGCCAATTGTTGGTGTGCAGGGACAGGCCATCGAATAATAAAGCCTTCATCATCTTTATGGAGAATTGTTGGGTAGATCCTGGAACAATTCGCTTTGGCTGTCTATAAAAACACATGTGCGACTGAAAATCCTGGCCACAAACGTATTTAATTTCGCATAAATTTAAAACAAATAAAAATCGGTCCGGTTTTTAAAAAAATGTTTATTTTAACGCAAAGGAAAATGTACGGTTTTGCCTATTTTTTGCGAAAAATAAAAATGTTCAAATCATTTTATTTATTTATGCAGGCCGATGTGCTGCATCTTCGATTTGGATTTTAACCACAACAAGGTCCTGTAGTTGTGTGTGTGTGTGTGTGTGTGTGTGTGTGTGTGTGTGTGTGTGTGTGTATTTCAGGCATATCGTTGGCCGGATCGGGCTGTCCGTGTCTGTGTTTACTTGACGCGCAAATCCTCTTATGCCGGCTCGGCCTCAGTGCTCGATTCGAAAAGGACAATTGCATGTTTTGATTGCCGCCTGCAATTGTGCTGCAGTTCCGTCTCCTTCACCCTCTCCTTCCCTCTGTCCCTGGACGTCGGAGAGCCTTCTGCTGGCTGCTGCACTTGTGACAATATTTTCATAATTTTTGCATCTTTTTTCTTTTTTGTTGTTGTTGCTTTTCGTTGCTTTTCCGCTCGCTGTCGTTGCCATCGCATTGCCAACGGTAGGTGCGTGTGTAAACATTAACTTTTGAAGAAGATTTAATCCCGATTATCCTTTGACTGTAAAATTTTCACTCAAAAGTTTCGTTTACTGGCTGCCGGCTGGTTTGTGCGGCGCAATGTTTGTCTTTTGATTTTTCACTGAGACTTTGTCCTCCACAGTCCCTTTTCGCATACAGGTCCTGTGCGTCTCTCCTCATGCCGATAATGATCAACGGCGACGACTTCTTGATGCGATTGCTGCTGCCTTTATTTTCGGCACAATGCCAACTGACGTCCATTTGACTCTGTGCGGGATTTTAATTTGCTCATAAAGATGAGACAATTAACAAAATAATTGGATTGTTGAACGCTGCCACAATGTGAAGGAAGGTGCGACATTTCTGGTAATGTGAATTCTATATGGGATTGTTTCTATTATTTCCATTACTATGCTGATAATTGGTGGCGCTAGTGTTACTGCTGCAACTTGCACTTTACAGGCGCGTTTTGTGTCTAATTTTAACAAAAAATTGCATTTTTTCTTTATGTGCTGAGCGTATATTTTTTCATTTTCAAAACGAAACGGTCATTTGTTTGTTCCAAGTTGCACTGCTTATAAGCTGTACCACTGCGCTCAACTGCTTGGAAGTTGAAATTGGTTCTTGTCCGTACTTATACATTTTTCCACTCATTTCTGTTTGAGGCTGTTAAAAAATCAAGATAAAACTCGCAGGCTTTCAGGCTATTTATTTAGATACTTTTCGGGGCGATCATTGCAGGCAGTTATATGAAAAAGAAACACCAAACAAAAGACGCGAGCTACAAATGGTGTCACATCTCACACTGCTTGAACGTGAATTGTAAGTATACTGCTTGCCTGCACTGCTAGTGATTTATGTATTTGCTAAACATCTTTCGTTAAGTTGTTATTTTATTTTCGTTTCAATACCCTAACAATGAAAGGCATATCAATTAACTTAAAAGCTGAACATAGTGAAAATAATGGCATTAATGGTAGAACAAATTGTGCGCTAAATGAAGTTAATACATCTTTTTGTTTCACTCCCTTAATTTATTTTACTTTGCATTGTTTTTATCGTACAAATATATATACATATATATATATAAATATATATTTGTTGGATCAGCATGGCAAGACAAATCCATCTAGACATGTGCGTCCGTCCGCCTGAATTTCTGAAACGCCTGAGATCACCTTTTTATGCTGACACTCCAAATTTTTGGCAGCTATTTTTTATTTCCCCTTAGATAATTATTTAAATATTTAAAGTACAACACTTTCCATCCAAGTTTTTAAGCCTCGAAGCCTTTTTGATAATATTGACAGTGTTTCCTGGTTATCTTTTTCTAAGGACGGCTAATTTTGTAAAATATCGATATGTGTGTGCATCGATAATTTTTACGTTGTATCGATTGCTTTTAAAAGAGACATCGATGGACATCTACATCGATGTGTCTTAATAAAAAATCGATGCATGTTTTACAAAATTAACTTTCCATTGAAAAGAAAGCTAATATTAGGGAGAAAATCAACAGAGATGTTTGAAATAAAAAATGTTTATATATCAAGAGAGACTATTATAGTATTTTCCTTAATGTTGAAAACCAGGAATGGGTGATAGTAGGAACACCCCTAATCATTACCATTAATTAAGCAGATTTGATAAGATTGAATAGTTAAATAGTGATAAGTAATCAATAATCGATAGTAAGAGGTCAATTGATATTGACCAGTTAAAGGAGAAGGACGTTTAGTGAAATTTGAATTAAACGGAAATTTGTGAAACATTGTTAATTCTTAGACACCAAATTAACCGAACAAATTTGAATAAACTCAATTAATCCAACAAATGCTTAACAATCTTATATTACAAATTACACATTTTAATGAAAACATCAATCAATTTATAATACAAAAGAAGAAATGTGACCGCCCAACAAAATATGAGAAATTGTCAATGTTTGGACGAACATCGCTAAACATCGATGCATCGTGGCAAAAACATCGTCGATGCTCGATACATCGATGTTTTTTTTTTAACATCCCTAAATCAAGTAGACTATAGCTATTTTGTCAAATTTGATTGGCGAGGCATCTATTTAAGAGGATTCAGTTTCTCAAAGCTAGTTCACATTACGAGCAATACGGACGCCTGTGAATTACAGTTTGCAAAGGCTAGGTTGCGCGTGAAATCACTTTATTTTAAAGCTCTGCAGCCCTTGTCAAAAATTGTTGTTGTTGTTGTTGCTTTTTGGCATTCTTTAACATTTCTAGTTTGAAGTAAAATCGTGTTGCCAAAAATGGAAAATTCGAGTACAGTCTGGCAAGATCTGCAGTAAGCCAACAACTGATAACACATACATACTTACAAATGTATGTATGCATGTATGTACATTTATTTATTTATTTGTGTTTCCCCTTTTTCCAATGGAAAGATATCGCGAGCGCATGGAATATTTGCTCGAGAGCGGCCACTTGTCGGATTGTAGTTTTGCGGTTTTCGAGGAGGGCACCAAAATGATCATCAAGTGCCACAAATTCGTGCTGATTTCGTCCTCGCCAGTGTTCGAGCGCATGTTCGAGGGGGACTTTGAGGAGTCGAAGACATCGAATCATATAGTCCTGGACGATGTGTCCGGCCAGGACTTTAAGAAGTTCATAGAGTACTTGTATTGGCATGACAATCGTTGTCTGCAGGAGTACGAGCTACCGACGTTGCAGACGCTGATATATCTGAGCAAGAAGTTTCTGGTTTCGACCATGGTTAATAAGTGCTTGGACGCGATAAAGCGCCGACTGGCCATAGGATTGGATGCCGATATTACGGTTGATTTGTTCGCATACGCTCATCAAATTGACAATTCTGATCTGCTCACAAGCGCAAAAATGGTACGAGCTCCTTCCTATAGCTCCTTCATGTCGAAAGCAAACCACAAATTTCTTTCTTCACAGGTCTTGCGCCAAAATCCGCTTTTGTACATCGATGCGGAAGCGGTTTATGACCTGAGCTCCGATGTATTTCTGAAATTCATTTTCGAATTTCAATCACTGGTTACCGAAAGGAAACGCTTCGATGTGATCGATCGCTACTGCCGGACCCAAGGACTGATCGGAACGCCTTCAACACCCACAGCCAATAATAAGGATGCAGATACAGCAGCAGCGGTCTCCAGCATGAAGAAAGTTGCGACCACAAACATTGTTTTGAATGTCGGGGAGAGTGCTGACGAGCTGAAAACCATCAAAAAGGATGAGAATGATAACGAAATTAAAACGAAAAAGGATGACCCTGCACCTTTTAAGGAAGCGGACAATGAGAACCCCGAACAAGAAGAGGAAGAAAAACGGGATCGGGAAAAGAATAATGAATTCATCAAAACATTAATAAGCAATGTTCAATTCTCGAAAATGTCTCCGTACGATTTCTGCAGTGGACCGGGAGTATCGGGTTTGTTAACCTACGACACCAAGTTTCAGTTACTCTCCAATATTTGCGTTTGTGTGGAAAAAAATCGCTTATTAAGCACAGCTCGCCCATAGAGCGTGTTCTGATTGGGTCAACTAATCAATCCCAATATTTGTATTATATAAAATATACACATATGTATTTTGATCGAAGAGTCGCGCTGTTAACAAATACTAAATATTCAATAAAGTAAACAATATGAAAGTTTACTACATTTTATAACTAAGGGGTGCTATAAATTTGCCTGATGCAACCTCTCTGATTAATATTACAAAAACTGTAATATTATCAAAAATAGATTACGGTCTCTGCGTGTACGGCAAAACAAACAAAACAAATAAAAACAAACTATTCACCCCCTACCACTCCTCCATAAGACTATCCCTGGGTGCTTTCCGGACCACTCCCATCACCAACATTCTCGCAGAAGCTGGACTTCCAGATCTGAGCACCAGATTCGAATGGAGCATTGGCAGGCAAATCAACAGACTGAACAACATATCTGGTTAATCGCTGCACACAACACTAATAAACCAACTCAAACGCAAAAAAGAACAACGAATCCCATCAAGCCTCCAACTCGCAACTCAACAGCGAAGAAACAAACAAAAGTTTCCTCCCTGGTTTTTTGACACTCAATCATTTTCCAACCCGCACATTATAAAAAGGACACCACTCCTAAGGAGATATACACAACAAACTTCATGGAAATTTCTCTTCACCGATGGATCTAAAACGGACAACGCGACAGCTTTTAGCATGATCACTGAGGAGAATAATATTGCCAGATCCGCTATAACATCGTCCTATCGTCCTTGCTGTTCAAAACACCAACAACAACGAACCCACCATAAGCCAAATTAGGGACATGATCTCCGCAAGAAAAACTAAAATCAAACTTATGTGGACAAAAGGACACGCAGGTATAAGAGGAAATGAATGGGCGGATACGGCAGCGAAAGCCGCCACAACAGCTCCACTAATTCTTCACAACACCTCCAACAAAAGATCTCATTAACACAACAAGCAAAATATGTTTAAAAAGTATCTAGGATGAATACACTCACCACTACAAGACAATAAATCCGTCTCGAAAGCCAACAGATACCAATAGCAATAAACAGAAAACACGCAAGAAAAACACAAGATTCCGACTTGGACACACGAATACTTGCTCACCAAATCATCACCGCCGCTATATCCTTACTGCAACCCAAGCATTCCAACCAATGTACTTCCTTGAAAATTCCCACGCCAAATCAACTACTCGCAGAGACAAATAATGTAAATATTAATAACTTCTGAACTACATACATATAAACATATAACTAATAGATAAAAAAATATTATATGTATGAAATTTTGTGATTTAGGATTAGTTCTAAGTTACAAATGTTAAAATAAATAAATAAATATATATATATATATATATATATATATATATATATATATATATATATATATATATATATATATATATATATATATATATATATATATATATGCACGGGATTTTTATGCAGGCAAGTCCCTGTTAATTATACTCTGCACATGAAATGTACAAGAGTATATTAGGTTTTCGGGAGCTGAAAAATGTAACAGGCTGAAGGTGGCGTGGCAGCCCCCAAAAAGTATATATGTATATTCTTGATCAGCATGACAAGCCGAGTCGATTTAGCCCGTCCGTCAGTATGACCACCTAGATCTCAGAGACTATAAGAGCTAGAGGCACCAAATTTTGCGCAAAGATGCCTTAAGTGAGTACGCTATACGAGTTTGTTTTATTTTTTTGATTTTCCCCCCCATTTCACCGATAATGGGGTTTTCCCGTAACGCCGTTTTTATAATCACCTATATCTCGGAAACTATAAGACCTAGGAACACCAAATTTTAGTCCAAGATGAATTTATATTAACACACAGGAAATGTGTATTTTGGAAATTTTTGATTCAAATTTGACAAATACCTCCAGTTACTTGTAATGATAGGCACGCATAGGCATGCATACACTCACATAGAGACAATTCCTATGTCTAATATACACCCTTTTTGTGAGTTCCAATACCAAGGATGGTAAATTTTTTTTAAATGTTCTTAACTTTTAAAATGTCTATAATTCTTCTACACATGTATACAGAGTCGGAACACCCGATTTAGCTTTTCTACTTGTTTTTAAAGTAAAATTTTGAACAAAAAGTTCATTTCTCCATAGACGCCATTAAAAATTTATTTGTAATCTTCAAAGTACATGGGACTCTTCATTTTTGGAAGTAATGGTGGATCAGAGCCAAAAGTCCTAAAGTATTTTATAAATAATAATATATATTTTATATATAATAAATAATTTTATATATTAACAATTACAAAACCATCAAAAATATGATAACAATAATGTTGGATATGAATTCGAAATAGAACAAGAGAGAACGCTACAGTCGAGCAAGCCCGACAGTGTAATACCCTGTACCCAGGTAAACTTCCGTCACTGGGTTATATGCGCCCATAGCAGCAGCAAAAAGAGGAAGAAGAAGAGCGAACTTGTTGCTGCAGTTTGTGGGGGTTGTACTGGCGAGAATTTGTTTCGCTTATAACTTTTCTTAGAACAACAACAGTAGATAATTATATATAAATTATGTGTGCAAAGTTTGGTTTAGGTAGCATTTGAAATGTGGACGCTATTGACGAAATTCTGTAGCGGGGGAAGGGGAGGAAAATTCCAAAAAATAAAATAAACTCGTCCTTACTCGGACCTAGGAGAATCTGGATGCCAACTTTGGTTATTCTAGCTTTTATAGTTTCTGAGATCCTCGCGTTCATCCAGACGGACAGACGGACGGACAGACGGACAGACGGACGGACATGTCTAGATCGATTTCTCTCGTCATGCTGATCAAGAATATATATACTTTATGGGGTCGGAGATGCTTCCTTCTGTATGTTACATACTTTGCACAAACCTAATATACCCTTTTTACCCTACGGGTACAGGGTATAAAAAGTGGTTGAAGTGGTTGGTAAGTATGCAACAAAACTTCTCCGTAAATATATTTTTCATTTATTCCCACCTCTATTCTTATAATTCCTAACTGGTTCAAGCCTTGCAGGTAGTACATCAGTGATATTTTAAATCGAAAATTACTCTGGCTTCTCTTCAGTTGTCGAATAAATCTTTCGCCTTTTACTAAAGATTTCCGTGGAGAGGGGCACTCTAATGAGTCTAGAGAATTTTTGATAGAGTCCTGTCGAAAGGTGGGACCATTATGAATAAATGCACAAATATTTTATGGTTAGCAGTGAAGAGTATGTTTCTACGAGTATTTAAACTATATTTATGTATTTTTATTACTCTACTGTTTTTATTTGGATAATTGTTTGGCCATAAGGAAGATAATGTAACTTATGCAAATAATCAGTAGCTGGGGGGAAAACCCATACATTTTTGTAACGAAGCTCTGCCCTGTAATTTATTGGTTGTAGGGCAAAAATATTTATTACAATTCTTCTCCGACGCTCAGAACTTATCCAAAAACTCAATGTTCTACCAAATTTTACTCAAACACTATCCTACAATTAATTACACTTACAAAACTATGCTTACTCTAACATCAACCACCGTCCTGCTCCACCTGTGAGGGTCACCAGGGCGTCCTTACAGTTTCAATGAAAACTACTCTTCCGTTTAAAGGAGAGCTGAAATAAACATCTTATATCTAGCGGTAAAAGCGATATATTGGATAACCAACTTCTATGGTTCGGAATAAAATATGTATATAAGCTAATTAAATATAACCTTAATGCACATACTTTTACTTCAATTGTCTTAAAAAATTGGATCGCCAGTTTTATTTTAAAAGGGACGAGCAAATTTTAAAGTTTATACACGTGTTGCCATTACGAATGGCTTTGCTATCACAAAATGGTCACACCTTGACCATAGCATACTTTTAGGCGTCTTTTTTAATGGCAATAGCATATAATTCTCAACCAGTTCACGGACTAGAAGTGTGGGGTGAAATTTGATTTCCATGAGAATTTATCGCTTCTCGGCCTTATGGCTAAGATCAAAGTGTAGTATCTGTTCTTATCAGCTTAACATCTGATAGATCCTCCATCGGAGGACAACAAATGTTAAACTGATTTTTGGAAATAGACGGAGTGCTAGGAGCTTGCTCCACCTCTGTCGCGGGTTGGCCCGGTATTGCAGTACCGCCGGGATTTCGGCCCACTTAATACATACATTTAAATACAATCGTGACTTTGTGCTAGATTATTGTCGAAGTGGAATTTCCCTTGCGGATGGTCCCTAATATATAATGAAGTAGTGTCTAAAAAAAATTAGTCGCAGATTGTTTCTATAAGTCTTTTATAAAAAGCACATTAAAGGAGGAGGTATAATAATATAAGAGGTTATTATTAGCCTTGCCATAGCTTTATGTAAGTTGTAAATAATATGAATAATAAGACTAGCCTCCTAGTTTAGGTTGCATTTAGAAGCATAAATTGGCACGATGTAGATTTATCAGCGACTGTAATAAGTACATATACAATTACAAAATAATGATTATTTTTTATTTTAATGAATTCGAGTTTTACTTTAAAAATTTATCATTACTGATGAGCAAAAAAATAAAACTTATAAATAATGATTATTCACGCTGAAATTATGTATTTTTATACCCTGTACCCAAAGTGTACATGGAACACGCAGAAGGAGGCGTGGCAGACCCCACAAAGTATATATATTCTTGATCAGCATGACAAGCCGAGTCGATATAGCTATGTCCGTCTGTCTGTATGAACGCAAGGATCTCAGAAAGTATAACAGCCCTGAGCCCGAGAAAGGACAAGTTTGTTCATATTTACCGATTTCCCCCCCTTTGCACGATTTTCTATAACTCCCGTAATTCTTGGAATTTGAGGGGATTTAAGAGTTGAGCCTGCTCGACTTTAGCATTCCTTTTTTGTCTATATTGATGAAGGTCAAAATTTAGTCCTTTAATCAGTGAGCCAAGGCCAACATTTTTAATTTGAAATTCTCAAAGTTACTTTAAGTGAATGATTTTTTAATCATTATTTCCGGTCCCTGATTAAATGAGATTTTTGATTTGTTTATTGGATTAAAATGTTAAATATATTATTAGAAAAATATAAAGCAAAGAAACTAGTATTCAAAATTTTAAGCCGTGATTTATTAGCAATTTAAAATTTAAATTTACTATGGCGAGTTCAGTTCTGAAACTAGAAAATAGATTCTCACAATCCAACTAATTGCTTTCAATGTAAAACCGATGGATATTTTTGGAACATTAAGGTCTGTACGGATCAAAATAGCGTTAGATTTTTGTATTATAACTTTATCTACTGTTGACTTTAAATTGGAATTGTGTTTTAAATGTTGAAAAAAGCGCTTCCCATTTGGAGAGTTCCGACATCTTGGTAACCAGTATTACAAAAAAGGATAACAGATTAATTTAACGGTTCAGGCCACATCGAGCCCAACTGGGATGTGCTTTTATCACAAGCTGCGATAAGTTTTGCAATCCCCTGTTTATTTATAGTATTAACTCGTATATAATTACAGATTGATTTTAAATTTAATGTCTAAGAGCCTAACACTGTCTGGAGCTACTTATAGTACGTACAATAATTTGTTGTCCTTTGAGGTAATGGTGAAAAGTAAATCTGATTGTAGCGATAATGTATGCAGATGCATTTTCTAATAGTAGCCGCTGCCAACGGAAGTCGGGGGCGGAGTTATGGAGAGCAGGTAAACCGGTTTGCGATCAATGGGCGAGTGATCGATGACATGATTCCCGGACTGCGATGATGGCGGAGTCATGGACGCATGATGATGCGATTGCTGGGCATGGGCCTGGGCCTGGGCATGCTGAATGGTGGAAAGTCCGGGCAGCTGTTGCAGCGACATGGATCGGAGACCTGCAGGCGATAAAAGAATAGAGAGAGTGCATATATTTTAATGGACTGGCAGACACAAAGTTTTACAACCACGCCAGACGCGTTACAATTCACACAGGCGGCAAGCGGTAAGCGGCGCTTTTCACAGACACATCATAGTGCTACAGACTAGGGGCGGCGGGACGGAAAGACAGACAGACACACAAACACACACACACACACACATGTGTTGCAAGAAGGCAACAAGCGCTCAGATCAAATGAGCAGCGGTAATACGAGACGGGGCCCATTGAGTCTGTGGCACACTTAATACGGGCAGTCAGCAATTATAGCGCGCCCTGATTGACGCGAACACCCAAGGAGTGGCGTGGCGGTGGCACTCACACTTACCGTTATCGAGCCCACTGCCACTTGTTGCATATGGGGAGTAGCCAGCGGCGTAATCCAGTCCCACACTGTTGCTTTGAAGCGCCGGCACTGTCATACCAGGCGATGAGGATGAGCCATGTCCCAGGCCGCCAGCCGTACCCCCGCCGCCCCCGCTACCAATGAGCGCAGCATGGGCCAATGGCGGGGTGGGGGATCCATTCAGATTATTGCCAGCAGCAGCCGCCGCAGTCAGGCAGGTTATATTCGTGTACTGGGGCAGAGCTCCCACGCTCACCGCCGCCGATCCGCTATGCGCCGCATGCACGTTCCACGCATCTCCATAGCCCTGAGGCGCTGTCGGCACTCCATTTGGCATGCCGCTGGCACCATAGTCATAGGAGGCATAAGCTGGCGATGCATAGAAATTTGCATTGTCCTGCAAGGGATACATTTTCAAATTTAATAAACAAACTTATAAATGGTCTGCACATACGAGCACTATTTGGCGATTTTCCCGCCTCCCCTCTCCTCTGGCAGCTATATAATCTGGTGTACCGATTTGAAACTTAAAGCTATGATCAAGGCTTGCGCAAAGCCTAGCTTTTGAATATAATGAAGCGCAACTACTAAGTACTTTGAAAATCTTTTATTCATGACTAGGTTTTGAAAAAAAAAAATTGCTTATACAGTAGACTCTCGCTAATGCAAACCTGCGATAATTCGACCCTCTCTATAATTCAAAGTTATTACGAGTTCCCTACAAAATCTCTTTATATTTCGAACTAAATCAATACATTTGTTTGCTCTTGGTAACTCGAACTAAAAATCATTGCTACATAACAACACGATGCGTTAATTCGAACTCACTCATCGTCCAACACTCCACAATTCAAAGTTGCACAGAGAAGGAGGCGGAAAGATTGTATGTAAGTATGGTTTGTTTAGTTATCATTCAGTTACTGTTACTCTTTTGACATTGTTATAGAATAGCAGTTAATAAGTAATTATTGCTCAACACTTAATTATTCGAAGTTTTATTTATTTTCTCTCACAAGTTTCGAGTCATTTGATATTTCAAACCAAGGGCGTAGCCAGCTTTTACCAAAGGGGGGGCCAAAAATTTAAAATTTTGATTAAATAATGCACGATGCATTTAAAAAATAACTTATGCATATGATCAATGAAAAAACTTCAAAAAATCCAACTCAGATCCATTTTAAGCGAAATATATATAAATATATACTTTATATGGCGAAACTTTTTGTAGCCGTTGCCCCCCCCTGCCTACACTCTTGTTTAAGAGTCCCTCGAGTTTCGAATTAACGAGAGTCGACTGTAGCTGTTTTTAATACCATTTAAGAAATCATATTATTTTAAGTTATTTACGGCAAACCACATCACTTCGAATTTTTCTAGGTTTTATTAAAAGTTTGACAACCTTTTATAGCTCTATATGTCCGAAATTTGGAACTTTAGTCTAATTAAGCTATTCCTCAATTTTCTCTCTAATTGTTGGCCATGCAGTTTATATTGGAATCAGATCATGTCTATATGGAAATTCTTCTCATAATATGTACCAACCCGCGCCTGTTACATGTACTTGGCACTATTCCCTAAAATACTTTTTCATCTTTAGGTTCCGCATATAAATAAAAAGACGCTAAAATTGAATACTGCCTATACTCTTCTGTAGAGTTCAATGCATAGTTGTATTAATATTAACTTATTTTTTTATTTCAAAACAGAATCATAATTTGATTAGCTATTTCTAGCTCATTGCAATTACCTATCTAGCTTCTCTTTTTTAACCTCCTGGAAATAATGTTTACTCACCATTCCGGCATCGCCATAGCTGCCACTATAGAATCCATTGCCTTGGACATATGATTTGACTTTAATTTTGGAGCGATAGCCGCGAGGACGACGTCTCAAGCTGCCTTCGTCCTCGAACAGGTGCGCCGAACTCTCGTCGATCGTCCAATAGTTTCCTTTGCCTGGCTTGCCAACGCCCATGCCCTTGGGAAGCTTTTTAAAGCACTCGTTTAGACTCAGATTATGGCGCACCGAGTTCTTCCAGCCAACGTAGGGTCCGCGGAAAAATTCGTAACTGCAAGCAAGATAACAACAGATACATATACTTGTGTGTAGTATTGTACACGTATTTATTTATTTATTTATTTGCTGGCATCCGTCGGTTTCCTCATGAGCCCATGATCCGATCCATGTGACTAATGAGGTTTGATCGTCGCGACGATTCAAAGTCTTGAAACAAAAGCCAATTAAAAATTTGGGCCCCATCGCAGACTGTACAACAACAAATAACAGACGTCAGCGGAATATCTCACGCATGTCACCGGGACCCCAAGCCCAAGCCCAAGCCCTAGTGGACAGCCGGCCAGCGACGTCGCCAATATCCAAACAGAAAAGGAGAAATATGAGCAATCAGAAGGATGCCCGCTCGCTTGCTTGCTCGTATTTGGAGCGGAGCCGTAAATATATATTATGTTGACTTAATAATATCGGATGGGTGTAAATAAACTCTGCCGCAAACGAAACATTCTTGTCTCTAGCGTTGCCGTATCTCTTACCGGTACGACGGCCGGACTCGAGTCGATGTCGCGTCTCGACTTCACGTGGCACGACTCGCGGTGTCGCGCAATTCGAGACCCCAACGCATCGGCGTGAGAATACGGCGTCTGTGGTAAGGTGAGAGCCGCTAGTGTAGAGGAAACCTATCAGAGAAGCCAATTGGAACGTGAAGACATCTCTATTGATTAGGAGATGTGGTTCGATTCGTCGTTATAGAATGAGAAACATTTTCAGAAGCAACCTTTTTAAAGCGCAAATTTCTTCATATTCCAATCAATCAATAATCTTAATTAGCAGAAAAAATAGAAGAAACATTTCAGGAGCTATAAGACTTGGATAAGTACATACATTAACAATTTTGTGGTATTATTTGTTTTTAAAAAAAATATTTTTTTAATTTTCGACATTAAACAATTTCAAATTTTGTAGTTTTTTCTTAAACGATCTTTTGAGATTTGCTTTGGCAAAGATTTTTTTGTACTTGAGAAAAAATAATGGTATTTCACACTGAAGAGAATTAAAATTAAATCATAAATTGTAAAACAAAAAAAAAATTGAAAGAATTATTTAAACTTTTACTAGACCATTAGTTATCTCTATTAATTTCGGTAATGGTTACTACTTTTTTTTCAGAATGAGGATATTCAAACAATGATACAGACGCTTTCTTTAGATACCAGACCAATATTAAAGAATTTTTAAACTGCAAGTAATTTTGAAATCATGTAGGTAGGTAGGTAGATAAAGGTGGTTCGAACCGAATCAAATAGTCAGAAACTCACATTTTGGGATTCCTGTTAGCTGACAAGTATTTTAATACAAGGCGTTAAAGTTTGCAACTAGTTTCGAAATGTATATAGATTCAATATAACCATGTTCCAACGTCTGATTCAATCACTATTTCTGACCCGGGACAAATGTCTTGTCTCTTTTCACCAGCCTGGTCTTATCCGGTTAAGCTAATAAAGATACTCGTTTTAAAATCAAATAGCGTTCATAGAAAGAATAGCTTAGAAAGAATTGTGTTATAAATAAATTATTTTTAACGTGTAAGCATAGATTTTTCCTGAATAATAAATGTGCTTTGAAAACATCTTGCGTTCGAACGACTATCACCTAGGAAATTGCTAAATTTCGGATCAGAATGAACTGAGAATAAATTACAATTACAATTTCAGATCGTTTTCAAAACCTGCTGTTTCCCTCATTTATGTGAGACTATCATTCTTTATAAAATTAAATTTAGCAAATTTCAGATCAAACAATCTACTATAAAAATGTGCTATTAAGTAGTTAAAGCTGCATTTCCCTCCGATAACCCCAAAAAATACATACATATGTTGCTATCAGCTGCCGGTCTGGCATAGTAGGAATAGTGTATTGCCAGCATATGGCTGTGAAACTCTATAGGCACTGATAGAGTCTCAAGAGGCTTCAACTGAAGTGCTAATCAAGCGGGTGAACATACTTCATTTGATAATATCAGAGGGAACCGACCGCTCACTTAAAAGTCGGGCTATCAAAATCAATATTAAGCCAGGCTATGAAAAATAAAATGTTATTTACCTCTTTTGGAGATACGTGTAGATCTCGCTGAGTGTCAGTTTGCCAGTGGGGGACTCCTTGATCGCATGTCCAATCATATTTATGTAGCTGAGAGCTGGTTTCTCGGGGCGACGGGTGCCCGATTTCTTGGTTGTGTCAGGAGTCGTCGCGTTATCCTGGGAACTGGTGCTGCTTGACTTCGCCTGCTGCTGCTGTTGTTGTTGCTGTTGTTGCTGTTGCTGTGACTGGGTTTGGGGTGCCGTTGACTGATTGGCCTCCACAGGTGAGTCGTTATGTGATTTGGAAGGAGATGCGCTCGAGCTAGAATAGTTGAGCACGGACATGCCGTGGGCATTGGAAATCACCTGAGTTGGGGAGGACGAGATGCGGGACAGATTGTGATTCGCGTGACTCGTCACGGGCATGTAAGATACCGGTTCCGGAGAATGCTGTTCCGGTTCGTGATTAATCAACTGCTGGTAAACGTTGGCACTCACAATCGTATTATTGGAGCAGTACTTAATGGTCGAGGTATACTGATGGTTTGGTTGCTGCGACGGCAACAGCTGCAATGGCTTGCCACCGCCTGCTGTGGATGTGGAGCTAACATACTGCATTTCATGATCCGTTGGGGTTTTTGAATTCGAATTCGGGGATGCGGATCCCGCTGAATGTGTGGTCATTGAAACACCATAGACCGGTACGGGACTCGACGATGCCGGCGGCGTTCCCATACTGTGCCAATGCTGCGTCGCCACAGGTGTGGGTGTAGAGCTATTGGGGGCTTCATGGGTCTGCATGCCCATGCCCACCATCGGGTAGTACTTGTAGTCGAAACTTGGCTTCTCATCCACCATTTCGGTGGGCGAGTCCTGCTGAAGGCGCAGCAACATGCTGGGATCGGCGCCCAGACTGGACGCATTTTGGCCTCCAATTGTCTGAAAATTGCTGCTGGGCAGCAAATTAGAGCCGCGATAAAGATGAGGATGATGCGTATTGTGTGCGGGCAGGTGATGATGATGATGGGGATGGGGATGATGGTAGTGGCTAGGAGAGCTCACAAAACTGCCTAGATGATCACCATTGAGAGCCATTTCTCTAGCATTTAATTCCGTTCCCTCTTCACTTTTTATCATGTTCAGTAAACACACTTAGTATGTTTCTTTTTATTTCGATTCACTTGCACACAAATTATGGTTGATGCGTCGCGCAGGCACGGACGAAGGCCTTGAAATTCCTTCGCTTTCCTTCGAAATCTCCTCTTGCTACGACCGATCAGTACCGCACTGCTGGGCTATTCTCACTGAACTGATTGCCTCCGATACTCGTATACGATCACGACGCTCTAGTTCTGTCGCTGCCGCTGCCTGAAGAGGAGAGCATTACATCAACGGTACTTGAGCTGGCCCGTTTCTTTTTTTAGTTCTCCTACGCCTTGCGCAAATCCATGCACATATGCATGTGTGTTTGTTTGTATGTGTGTCTGCCTCTGCCTGGCAGCTCATATCTGTATATGTGTGTGTATGTGTGTATGCATTTTGTGCGCTCTCCCACTGGCCTCTAATTGGCCTGCTGGAGCTCTCGCAACAGCGGCCAGGCAAGTGCATGTGTTGGAATTGGAATATGACTTGGCAATAGGAACGGTTATTGGAGTGTCCATAGAATGGAATGCAAAAAATCTACAGAATTACGTGTAAAGTAAAGGAAAATGAGTAGCAAGCAGTGTGTAATACAAATAATTCATAAATAGCTCCATATTTAACTGAACTAGACAATCGATTTACTTGTAGATAAACAAGGTTTCAAAATAAAATGAACGGAATAAGGAAATTAAATTGGGAGTAAATCAACGGCTAATCGAAGTTTATTCCAACTCAAAGATAGTATAATAGTAACTAAAACATAAGCTGTTTTGAAGAAGGCTTAAGATCGTTCTATATTAGGCATACTCCTTATTAAAGGTACATAAAGGATCAGTAGCTTGGAATGCAACAAATCTACAGAATTACTTGTAAGTAATTAAGTAAAGGAAAATTAGTAGCAAGAAGTGTGTAATACTTGTAAAAGTAATTCATAGATAGCTCCATATTTTTCTGGGTAGTCAACTAGATAATCGAATTAAATATACAAGGTTTCAAAATAAAATGAACGGAATAAATAAATTAAATTGGGGGTAAATCAACAGCTATTCGAAGTTATTTCCAACATGCAGAAGGAAAATAGAATAAGAAAGTCATTAAAACATTAGCTGTTTTGAAGAAGGCTTAAGATCCTTTGATATTAGGCATACTCCCTTTTAAAGGTACATAAAGGATCAGTAGCTTGGAATGCAAAAAATCTACAGAATTACGTGTAAAGTAAAGGAAAATGAGTAGCAAGCAGTGTGTAATAAAAATAATTCATAAATAGCTCCACATTTAACTGGGCAGTCAACTAAACAATCGATGTAGATATATGTACAAGGTTTCAAAATAAAATGTACGGAATAAAGAAATAAAATTGGGAGTAAATAAACGACTAATCGAAGTTTATTCCTAAATGCACAAGGATAGTATAATTAGAAAGTAATTAAAACATTAGCTATTTTGAAGAAGGCTAAGATCCTTTTATTTTAGGAATACTCCTTATTAAAGGTACATAAAGGATCAATAGAAGGACACGAATCTTTATAGCAATGTTTCGGATTGCTTCAATCAGTACTTATCCCACACTCTAATAGCTTTCCTGCTGAAACTTGTTACCGAGGCTGGACGCAGATCACCTCACCAACATACAAAACATAGATACATACGAGTATTATTTGAAGTAATTTATTTTGTTGTAACTACAACTACATCATGCAGTATGTCTGTATTTTTAAAAAACCGTTCTAGAAAAGTTTGTTTAGAAATATATTGAGCTCAGAGATTTAACAAGTTTGTATTTCCGAATCAATGAAAAGATGTGTGTGAAAAAATATTCTAACTATATGCGAAGATATTGCGGAATTTTTTATCTCGCGATTGACGATTAGTTAATAAATTTGTTATCTCACGATTGATGACTGTTAGTTAACAAATGAGAAATAACGAACAAATTGCTGTGGGGTGATGGATTAATAGCTTCGTAAAGGTATGAAAAGTCGATGATAAATATATATTTTGTCCATTTTTTTATCTACTACACAAAGTTTGCTGTGTTTGCTCACATTTTTACAAAATTGTGCGTCTGACCGAAATCTGCTAATTGTTGTTACGTATTAAATAAACTGACTGTGTTGAAAAAAAAATTAATTTGAAGTTGTTATGAGCGGTTGCTTGATTTAAAATGCGGATTTGTTATATTAATTATCTTAAAAATCATTTTAATAAAATAACTTAAGCTGAACGAAAAGAAAAAAGGAAATCTGTCATGTATTCGTTGTAAAATCGGAAATTATAAGTGTTCGGCCGATATGGAAGTTCACATATTACTTTTTGAAAAGTTAAATACAGAAGTTTACTCTGTGCTCGAAGTAGTATTTAGATTCACACAATTGGGGCTTTTCATTGAGAAGATTATGTGTCTATTTTATGGTAATGTTTGAATCTCTGCAGTATTTACTGTAATCGTAAAGTCGATCGCCCATTTGGATCACAGTTTGAAAAGTGAATTTACAGCTCCTACTGTACTGTCCAAGGCATTTGCTGGCACCGCTAAAGATGTTCACGAACAGCATAGAGACATCATTAGCGACATCCCCGCCTCCTGCGGAGGAGGCGTACGCTCCAGTCAACAGTCAATAAATACATACATACATAGCTACAACGAACCCACATGGCATGGCAAAACCCAAACGTCGAAAAGGCAATTACAATTAGTTAGAACAAATTAACATTTAACATTTTCGAGGAAAGGAAGCGGCTGGCAGCGTTCTAACGATCTGTTAAGTGATTTAGTCGTTGCCTGGCCGTGGCGGAGCAGGCGCTCCATGGAATCTCATCGAGAGTGCCGCCATTGCTGTCAGCACGACGAATCACCGACTCAGCAACGACTCAACGACCGTGACGAAGACAGCGACGGCGATGGGGATGCCTGTGGCTATATGACTTGTGGTAGAGATGGGTATGGGCTGGCTTTTTTTTGGGAATGTTTCGTGGCCGTCTTACACATACCCAACACACAAAACTAGTGAAAAGAGGAAAATATTTTAATTTATTTAATAAATTTTTATAAAATTTAATTTATTTATTTAAAGCACACTAAACGAAAAATTGAATTAGGTAATTAATTTAATTTAAATGTAAAGTAATCTAGTTTCTAATAGTCTGATATTAATGTAACGGACCCATCGGACACATTTTCTATTTTAAAATTTAAAACAATAGAAATATCAAATTTTAAGTTTTTATACAAAATAGCAAATAATTTGCAAACGAATAAAATTACTTATCTCAATTATCGATCAAACTATTAAAGTACCCATATAGCAAACCACGGTCTATTTTCAACTGAGAATTTGCTACCTAAATAATTTATTTGCAGATATGTACTTAAAAAATTTACTTAATACGCATGCTAGCAGCTTTTGCATAATCCTAATTTAAAATACATGTATCTGCTTCAATCACAACCCGATTAGCTTCTTCTAACAATTTCATTATTGTTTTTTTATGAAATAATAAAAAATACATATGTGCGTGTATTTCCACATGAAAATTGTTTAGGGATATGTACAGATAATGATATATTATTACTTTAGAGTTTTCTCGGTTTTATTTATTTTACTTTTTGTTCTGGGTGCGTGTTTTTCATGTACTTTTAAATTAATACGATCGGGGTAATTGGTATGTGAAAGAACAGTGCCGAAAACAAAACACGGTCCATGCTCACCTCTAACTTGAGGTGGTGTGAAGAGTGTCGCGTGCGTGGCGCGAGAGCGAACAAAAATGGGCAAGAGAAACGCATCTTTTTTTGGGTCCACGTTCACTGAGCAACACCAGCAGAAGAAGAAGCAGCAGCAGAAGGCAACGTTTCAATCGGTACCAGCGGCCGGCGTGCCCCAAACACACACGCACACACACACACACGCACACACAAACACGAAGGCGGAGTTTTGTTTACATTAAACGAATTCTATTTGTCGAACGCGTCAGGCGATTGGGCGATGCACAAAAAAAAGAGAATTATAGAAATAAAAGAACGAATTTAAAGAAAAAATTGTTTGCTACTTTTGCTTGACTTGACTTTTAGATGCGGCCGACGACGCGTTGCCTGTGTGGCCTGGGCTGGCCTGGCCTGGCCTGAAAGATATTTTAATTTCGTTTTTGCGAATATATCGCGCAACAACAGCAACAGCAACAAGAACAACAACAACACAATTTTGAGCCACTCGCCATTTTTGTGTGAATTTCGTGGAACCCGAAGGCAACATCAACAGCAACAAAATTCTGAAACATATTTCAGCAAAGCATTTAAAGTCAATTTCTAGCCTGTGCCTGTGTGTGTGGCAACTGCTGTGCCATGAATATGCATATATGTATGTATGTATGTATGTATGTACGAGTTTTTCTACTACGTATATTTCTCTTCTTTTTGGGATCTTGAGCTATTTTTCGTGTTTCTTGGTTGGTTTATGCGGTTGCCATAAATTATTTTTACGTTTGATTATTATTGCTTCTTATTCGAATTTTGGCGGTTGGATTTTTTTTTTTGTTGTTGCTGTTGTTGTTCTTTTTGCACATATTGGTATTTATTGTGAGTGAAAAATAAATTAAGCAGCATTGCGAACACGCAATTCAATTTCCAAGAGCCGCACTGCCAGAGCAGCAGCAATCGGGTCATGCGCAAGCACGAGATTTATTAATTGGCTAATTGTAGGCGTCTACAGTATATACTTGTATGTACATACATACGTGCCATTACACATACATACATATGTATATGTACGGGATCGTGCAGTTAAGACCACCCACAGAGTTGCGATAAAATATATATGCGGTTTGTTATCTTAACTACATACCATGGGCGCTGATTTAATGCTCATGTCCTTCCGTAGCACTAAAATATTGTCGAAATACAGACAAATTCAAAAATAAAGGTATACGTATTAGATATTATTGAATTTTTTTTTTAA